ATTCATAATGATAAACATACACATTCATAATCATATATTCAGAACTGCATAAGTACAAGCTCAAAAAGCACCAAAGATGAGACTTATATGGTCATAATGATAAACATACACATTCATAATGATAAACATACACATTCATAATCATATAACAACACATTCATACATTTTTTAAACAGTCCAAAACCCTAGTTTGAAATTACAAAAATGTATACTGAAAATTCATGCTTATTTTCTATAAATCCATAATATAACAATGTAAAATGCATAATACCTATTTCAAAAAGAAGTAGAGATCAGTTGTAGAGAAGAAGCGCTCTACGACAACGACGATTGAGGACATCGACAATGACGCTGAAGAAAGTGAGCAAACCTGAGAGAATGTCGAAGAAAAAGCTAATGAAAATGGCGAGAATCGGAGCAGGTGGAGGGAATCGTGTTGGAGAAGAAAATGCTCTGTAGTGGAGGGAAGTGTTTTGGAAAGGAAACGACGAATTGGAGCTTTTGTATTTAAAAAAAAAAAAAAATTGATTGGTGGAGTGAAACGATGCCACTAACGGCACCGTTACTCCAAAAACGACGTCGTTTGCATCCGTATGCACCAAGAATGGTGCATACGGATGCACAACATAACAATTGTTTCAACCCCAATAGTTATGCTGTTCAACCGTGTTCACTATGCATGGTGCACACGGTTGCAAAACAACGCGCGTTTTGTCCCTTTTAAAAAAAAAAATCAGTTTCGATTGCCCTTAACAGCATTATGTTGTTCATTCATTGTGGATATTTAGTTCATTCATTCTGGATTTTGTGTTATTCATTCACTGTGGATATATAGTTATGAATTTGTGGATATATAGTTATGAATTTGTGGATATTTAGTTATGAATTTGTGGATATATAATCAAATTATGCACAAAAAAAATGCTATTGCCAGGAATCGAACCTGAATTTTTTTTTTTTTAAAAGTGGAACACGCGTTTTTAATCAAAACTACGTCGTTTTTACAACCGTGTGCACCAGTTGCACAGCATAATTTGCATTTCAAACCAACGCCCTTCCTCATTTACCCACCGACAGGCGAAGACTTTCACTCTCCTCCTTAATACCAAGACTACCTGCAAGCTTCTTCTAATTCCCTCGCTTCACCATCCCAACACTATCTCCTAAATTTTCCGTACAGTCTTGAACCTAGACTGTGTTGATTAAGGAGCATCGTCTTCCATGGGTATAGAGAAAGGTTGTTTCTCACACGGTACGTTTTAATTACATACCACGAACAAATTTCATTTAAATTCGTTAATCTTAAACCCTAATTCTTTGTTTACAGATCTATCTAAATCTATCCAGCAACAAATGAATATAGGTGTAGAAAAGCACAAGAAGCACGATAGATATACATGCAAGCGGTATATATAACGGTAATTTAAAAAATCATCGTCACGTAGTATAACAAAATATATTAGACGGTGGATATTTAAAAAAACCTATGTCCCGTAGTATACCATTTATGTAATAGTTATTAGGGACGAAATTTGCAATTTTAGTATAACTAAGGAACGAAAAGTGCAATATCAATGATAATTTGGGGAGGAAAAGTGAGCATGACTAACACTCAGGGACGAATTCTATAATTACCTTATAACTTAGAGACCAAAAGTGCAACATCAATAATAATTTAGAGACGAAAAGTGAGCATGACCAATAGACGAATTCTACAATAACTCTATAATTTAATGATGATAAGTACAATTTTTCCTAAGTATTTCTACGATTGTAAGTTTTTTGTGAAAAAAAATCCAATTATATATGCTGGTGCATTATTTTGCACACCAGCATCGCCTAACGGGCACAAACACAGCAAGCATCCAGTAGAACTACTTTTATTATTATTTTTTTTTCATTTTCTTCCTCTCTCTTCCCTTCCCTCTTTCCTATTTGGCAAGTAAAAAGTTAAACAAAAACTGAGATTGCTGTAAATGCTTTAAGATGAGCTCAATCAAATCTAACAAAAACTAAAATCTTTGTGGATACTCTAAGATGAGCTCAGTCAATTCAATTGATGAGATGTTCAATTACCAACTACAATTTTATTTTTTTTTGACATATTACACTAATATTCATATCCTTCAAGATATGATTTATCTATGCCAGTCGGATTCATTGTACAAATTATTGTGTGGACCGTGGGATAACAAAAAATACATTTTCAATATATTAAAAATATATTATTCGTGTATTGAATGTACATTATACAAAATAATATATTTTCAGTATTAAAATAATATACTTTTCTTGAATACAATGTATATTATTTTTAATATACTTAAATACATTATTTGATTGTAAAGTCCATACAGTTGTGTGGATTATAGTTCACCCCACACCCCAATCAAACAGAGCATCTGGGAGGATATAAACCATGGTAACTCAGTTGAACACAGAGGTTAGACCTTTGCTTATTGCGCACAAGAAGCCCCCCTCCCCCCTTACTTTGAGAGGTTGTTCCCACCCTGCCACTGGTGAGACTCGATCCATGGTCATTCTTCCCAAACTTCACCCCTGTGACCAACTGAGCTACCGGCAAATTATGCTGTGGAACAGTGTCCACCTTGCAAGGTGGACACGCTTCCAAAACTGTTCATAATTAGAATATATAGTTCAAAAATTATGAACATATAATTTTATAATTATGAACATAGAGTTGTGAACATATAGTTCTGTAATTATGAATATAGAGATTCAATAATTGTGAATATGAAATTCAAAATTTATGAATATATAGCTTTATAATTATGAACATATAGTTCAGTAATTATGAACATAGAATTCTATAATTGTGAATATAGAGTTCAATAATTATGAATATGAAGTTAAAAAATTATGAATATATAACTTTATAATTATAAACATATAGTTCAGTAATTATAAACATAGAACCGTGTCCACCTTGCAAGGTAGAGAGGGTTCCACAGCATAACGACTACTGAGCTACCCAATCATTATTGTGTAAACCATAGTCCACACAAGCTGTGTGGATCATATTTTGTATACTGTAAAATAATGTACATTCAGTACAAAAATAATGTACTTTTAGTAAATTAAAATGTACATTGTATCAAGGGATGTATATTACTTGTGTACTCAGTGTACATTATATTATATAATGTACATTTAGTATATTAAAAATGTACTTTATGTTATGGTCCACATTGCACTGTGTGGACCATGGTCCAAACAATAATTTGTCGTACCCATGCGGGCTGGTTCACACAACAATCGTTATGCTATGGACTCGTGTCCAGCCTACAGTGTGGACACGGTAACGGTGCCGTTAGTGGCAGTGTGACACCGTTATCTTCCACTTAAAAAAAAAAAAAAAAAAAAAGAATTCAGGCCGCTTCGTTATAGGAGCATATGTTCATAATTTTATCAATATATGTTCATAATTGTAAGTTCATAATGTCAGAATTCTGTGTTCATAATTTCATAACTGTACATTCATAACTCCATAACTGTACATTCATAATTCTGTAACTGTAAATTCATAATTTTCGAAACTCTATGTTCACAATTTTAAAGCTCTATGTTCATAATTTTATCACTATATGTTCATAATTGTAAGTTCATAATGTTAGAGCTCTGTGTTCATAATTCCATAATTCCATAATTCCATAACTGTACATTCATAATTACATAACTGTACATTCATAACGTCATAACTGTACATTCATAATCCCACAAACGAATAACGCCGTTAACGGCGAGACAAAATCAATTTTTTTTAACTGAAATGACGCATTTTTCCTGAAAACGACGTCGTTTTGGACTCGTGTCCACAATGCAGGGCATAATTTGCGTTCACACAATAATTGGACTTAATTCATTGGGATTGGGCAAGAAGGCAAATTATACTGTGGGCTGCGGTCCACAATGCATTGTGGTTCAGACATTAAATAGGCAAATTATGCTATGCGCACGTGCACACCTTGCAAGGTGCGCACGGCGCTAAAACGGCGTCGTTTTCCGTGAAAACGACGCTGTTTTAATTATAAAAAAAAATTGTTCGGAACGCCGTTAACGGCGTTAACGGCATATTCGTTATGAAATTATGAATATACAGTTATGACATTATGAATGTACAGTTATAGAATTATGAATGTATAGTTATGGAATTATGAACTTACAATTATGAATATAGAGCTTCGAAAATTATGAATGTTCGGTATGGAATTATGAATATACAGTATGGAATTATGAATGTACAGTTATGGAATTATGAATGTACTGTTATGGAATTATGAATGTACAGTTATGGAATTATGAATGTACAGTTATGAAATTATGAACATAGAACTCTGACATTATGAACTTACAATTATGAACATAGAGCTTCGAAAATTATGAATTTACAGTTATTGAATTATGAATGTACAGTTACGGAATTATGAATGTACAGTTATAGAATTATGAATGTACAGTTATGAAATTATGAACACAAAGCTGTGAATATATGCTCCTATAACGAAGCGGTCTGAAATTAAATTAAAAAAAAAAAAAAAAAAAAAAAAAAAAAAAAAAAAAAAAGATAACGGTGCCTGACGGCACCGTTATCCGTGCGCATGAAGCACGCTGGGCACGAGCCCACAGCATAACTGTCCCATTAAATATGCACTGTAGTTTCATTTCAACACAACTACAGTATCATTTTGATATAACTACAGTTTCGCTGGACAATATACATTTAAATATGTGAAATTGTTATTCAGTTTTATTTTGTATACACTGCAGTTTTATTTTAACCCAACTACAATTTTATTTGATAATATAATAAAAATAATACACAAAACAGTATCAGTTTTAGACTTTTAGATATACTATAGTTGTCTGTCGTTTTAGATCATAGTCCACAAAGCTTTGTGGACCGTGGTCCATAGTATAATTGCTGGGGCATGAATTGGACTTTTTATGATATCACTAGTAGTGAAGTAGGCCCACTATGCTTCAAACTGTTTGGCCCACAAAGGTTGGGAGTTGACATCAGTTCGGAAAACTGCGCCGCGCCTTGGTACTCGCCGGCGGCCGTAGCAGTGTAGCACACAGCTTCCCTCTGCGAGGGGGAGAGAGAGAGCAAGAGAGCGATGGCACCACTAAAGTCTTTGGAGCAGCGTTACCCTATTATAGACTCTAACTTTCAGGGCTTCTGTGCCTCCCATGGCATTTTCTCAGGTTCCCAATCTGCTCCCCCTTGTCTTCCTCCACATTATTATCCCTTTGCCCTCTTTTCTTCTCTTTGTTAAGAAAATGTAGGGTTTATAAGAATCCAATACGTTGCATGAAAAGCTCCTAATTCCACAATTGTTTGGGATTTTTACTCCTGGAAATAAGAAAAAAGGTAAAATCTTTAGAACATTTTGATAGAAAATAATCAAAATATTATTAACTGGAATCTCTAACAATAATTAACCCTTTATATTTAATGCACACTATAACATGCTCCTCAATCCGAGCAAGTGAAAAAAAAAAAAAAAGAAAAAAAAAAAAAAAGCCTAACAAGTCCCCTTAATTTAAACATATGAAAGTTTGCTTGTTTGCACCCTATTTACCTTGGAAATGCTAATATTCTCATCTTGTGAGAACATAAAAAAGGGTTATATTACTAAAAAAAGGAATAGGCAATTGAAAAGGAAAAGGTTTGAGAATTTCTCTGTAATCTATCAGGAATGGAATGAAGATGAAAAATGCGATAACGATATTATCATCAGTAGAACTTCTGCATCAAAATGTGATAATGATGTTACCATGATACAGGGATTACGGTGAATGTATTTTAGTGTTTGGTGATGAAGGGTTAAAGTCTTAACAATTTTGATGAGTATTAGCAGAAAGTGAATGCGTTTTGTAAAGAATCATAGTAAAATGAACTCTTTCTTATTCATTTCTAGCCTTCTAGGAGGAAAAAACCGTTTTCAACTCCTGAAGTCATTGTTTCCTAAAACAAATAAGATTATAAGAAATGATTTGCCTGCTAGTACTAGATATCAAATATCTTTTTCAGATGATTTGTTTTATTTTATACATTTTTTTTTTTTAATAATCTTGTTCTATGTGCAGTAGAAGACTTTCTTCTACATGACATGCACGCTTTAGTGGTTTCTGCAGAACAACACAATACTTCAGCAAGATTGAAGCAGGTGAGTCTTAACCAATACGCTGCTTTCAAGCCCAATTCTAGTGGTATTCCTTATGTCTTTATCCTTGAATGTATAGGGCATTAACCAGGTTCTGGCTAGTATTGACGCACTGCATCAACCGTGGTTAAATGGTATGGAATTGTTGGAAGATGTACTGCAGCGTAAAAACATTCTGTCTACCGGATGTCAGTGGTACCAGTTCATGAATGACCATTATTTCGGTGGTTATTCTATAACTTTTGCTATGCTATAAATTTCTAATATTCTGAAAATATATGGTTATCTTGACCAGCATTGATGACTTTCTTAATGGTGGATTGAGAGATGGACATCTTATTGAGCTAGTTGGACCATCATCTTCTGGTAAAACACAAGTGAGAATATGTTACGTGTTGAAAGTTCTTCAACGAATTTGAACTAGTGATATGTTCTAGTTTTACCGAGGATATTTTGTTTTCTGGCTAATGAGTTGCTAAAGAGTTCACCTATGTTTGCAGTGTTCATTAATCAAAAATTTATTGTTAATTCAAGTTAGGTATGCTTTATGATTGCCTCAAATGTCGCAAGAAGTTCAGGCCGAGTTGTATTCTTGGACACTTGCAATTCTTTTTCTCCTAAACGTGTTGCAGAGGTTGTCAGTCAGATGTCAGATAATTCTACTAGTAAGGTAAAAAATGTTACTTCTAGGTTAACAATGGTGCTCATTGTCCTATGTATATACGTATTCCTTTATGGTTGTATTTCTAAACCAATTCTTTTACCGTCTTTTTTAGTTGGCTTTTGTATCATATTTCTTTTCAATTTGATCTACTTATTTGTTGCTTGTATATGTTATATGTAACTCTTTTATTATTATACCTGAACTCTTGTGCTGCTTGCTAACGTTCTTTATTGCCATTACCTTTCTGACATTTTAGTCAATTACATCTTATGTAGGCGAAAAAATCACTCGAACATGTAATGAGTAATATAGTCTGTTACTCGGTTTTTGACATCTTTACAATGTTTGATGTGGTTCATCACCTGAAGAGTACGATGAGATCTCAGGTTTAAGTACCTTCCCTCTTAGCTTTCTTTGCCTTTTTATTTTATCTATCAGTATATATCTTGAGCACATGACTTCACACTCGTGACAATAATTTTTATTTTGAAATAATATTTAGTTATTGTTACCTTCCATGTTCACCGAGATTTGATATGCAGTCAGGTTGCAGGGCGAGGATGCTTATCATTGACTCAATATCTTCACTTATTACACCAATTCTTGGAGGGAGTGGTGCACATGGTATTCACGGTTCTCTTATTATGATGTCAGTTATAGAATATTTACGGAATTCTTTTACTGACTGAAGATCACATTTGGTGTAAAACAGGACGTGCTTTGATGGCTTCGGCAGGATTCATACTAAAGCAACTAGCGAATGAGCATAACCTGCCGGTTTTGGTTAGTAAGAAGAAATATCTTCGGTTGCCATATGTTCTCTGTTATATTTTCAATGTGGGACTCTTAGACCCTCCCCTGAATCGAAAGCTATCTTATAATATAAGATTGGGTCAATGTCACTCAACTGGGCAAAACCACACTAAAAGATTGAATCGAATCAATTAGCTAGTCTAACTCATTACTTTATAAACCCATATGTTCTCTCTTATATTTTCAGTGTGGGACTCTTAACAGTATATATACAGTGTTTTCAAAATTTTCCGTCTTTGAGGTGATACTATCATGTTCGAATAGGTAACCAATCATATGGTGGCTGGCGAGGCGGGTCTTCTGAAGCCTGCACTTGGCGAGAGTTGGAAGAGCATTCCACACATTAGACTGCTGCTTTCCCGTGACTCTGCAAGACACATTAGTAGCATTTCAGTGCTGAAACATCCAAATATGGTATGTTCCTTGAACCGCTATCGCTGATGATTGGTAGTCCTCAAAATGGTTTTCACCATGAATGGCATTCATTCCATCCAGACTTGTGTGTATAAAAAACATCATAATACCTCAAACCATAATTTCTGTATTTATCCATGTTTCTACCAGGCTACTGGAGATAGAGTGGAGTTCCAGATATTATGACATGATAAATCTGTATTTTGGAGCATGCTGACTTTAGCCTGAAGGAAGGTGCATTCTGAAAATATCTCCTGCTATGTAAATCTTTTTTTTTTTTTTTTGATAATTCAGGTTTCCCGGCTTTGCCAGACTATATCTTGGGCCCTATGAATCCGTCCTAGGTTCATGAGGAGGTAAATCTTGATAGACTTTTAAGTACAGTAAAAGTAATGAATAGTTACAGTTTTGTACTAGCAAATGTATGTCTCAGTCATGATCAATGATCTCAAGGTGTATATTTTCACAACAGTATGAGGTGAAGGGTTTGGGATTCCAATCCTAAGCTTATTCTAGTCTTATGGAAATATTGTGCTATGCTAAATCAGGCGACTTGGACTAATGGAATGGTTGAAAGGACGCTTCATGTGTTATCTATTTGTATAGGTAAGGTCAACTTTCTAGTCGGGCGGGTCAAAAACGTGCCATGGAGATTGAAAATTGTTGAAAACTGGTATATACACTTCATCTATATATCCCATTAATATTAAATTACATCCTAAAAACTAATAATTTTCCAAAACAATTAGCTAGTAATTATTAGATAGTTTACATACCACCTTAAGTAGATAGCTAGCTAGCTAGGTGTTTCACAAAACTAGGATTTAGACAACAAGGCAACCTCAATAGGGATTTTGTCATAATCATGTAGGAGAGAGGGTAAAGAGAAGAGAAAAAGGGAAGAAAAAAAAAAAGCAAAAAAAAAAATCCTGACATGAAAAATTAAAAAAAAAAATAAAATAAAATAAAAACAGTATGTTCATGCGTCCAGCTGGCACGTGCACAGCAAGTGCGCCTCAAGCGCGCCTGCAACTTCTTTTGCTTTCTTTTATCTCTATAAGTGGACCAGTAAGAACCTTTATTTGCAGTAGTAAGATCCCCTAAAAAAACTCACCTTCACATTTGTGAAAATTTATTTTACTATTCTAAAATCTCCCCAAAATCTCTTTTTGGGGATGCCCTTGATATAACAAATGAAAGTGGGTAATTTTAGGAGGGTAAAAAGCAGATAAAGAAACAACCAAAGCAAAGATCAATTATAAAATTCTAAGAAATTAATCTACCTAGAATCCTAGATAAAGAATGGGGGAAGAAAGATGAAAAGGTGTAAAAAAAAAAAGAAAAAAAAAAAAAAAGAGCAAAGCTCATGCATGTAAATTTAACAGATTAATAAACCCCCACTAAAATAAAAGCCCCACAGCTTTAATCGCGTGATCATAAACCTAATGATTTCAACCAAGACCCACATTTTTAATTTTTCATATAATTATTATAGAAAACATTTAAAACATTTGTTTTTCATTTTTTTAGAAATAAAAACATATAATGAGTTTACTTGTCCATTAGAAAAATGGAGAATGAAAAACTAAAAAATTAAAATAAACAAAACTTTTTTTTTTAGTATTATTGACCCTATGATAATATAGTATCCACAGTTATGCTGATCGATTACAAAGTCTTTGGCAAACACAACTTAATAGTGCGAGAGAATTATTAATGAAACATGCCTATGTTTTTACTAGATCTTTGATCAATTGCGTGCAAATATGCAAAGACATACATACACATACGATGCAAGTATGCGACACGCCGACACGTAACAATTATCATAACTTCAACTTAATATTCATTGGTTATTATGAATCAACTGATCCATAAATTAGTCAAACGAGATTATATCATATAATATAAGATTTTAAATAGAGTGATATACAATTACACGATTAGGGATGACTATATAAAACATTTTCATACAGACAGAAGTTAAAAATATATACAAGGGACAAAAGGAAGAAAAAGTTAACACAACATCTTTTGTATGATTTGTGAGTTATTAGTATACACTTGAGCAAAGTTTACCCAATGTATATTCTCAAATAGTTGATTTTCTTTGTGATTAGCGTTGCACTATGCTTACTTCCTAGTGGGTCACCTATCCCCATTCTACCACTACTGTAAGTTAAGCACGCTTAACCACAAAGTTCTTTGGTTATCTGATTGTCATATCTTACTTAAAATCAATTGATGATAAGTAGGTGGACATTAACGATTTAATCACATCCCTCCATGGTAAGCCACATCGCCACGTCAAGAATCGAGCAGGGGCTGAACTCGGACAGCCCGACCAACGCAAACACTTTGTAATCCAAAAAAAAAAAAAAGATATTTACTAAAAAAGAGTTAATCTAATAACCATTTTCTTTCATTTATTTTACTCTTTTTTTCTTTTCTTTTTGAAAAGTTGTAAAGAGATGGTAGGCAGTAAAAAGGGAGTTTTATGATAATAATAGAGTTAAACTAATAGAATTATTGTAATGCTAACTAATCAAAAAGCATAGCATCTGAAATGAAATGATTACGATCGGTGAAGCTTTAATTTCCACTTAAGAATTGTCAAAAGGTAATTGGACCTACCAGAGAAGAAACACACACATATTTCACCCATTTTTGCAACCATAATCATTACACCCATATGGGCTAACCATAAAGTCTAACTGGATTCACTTATTTTACTAATTTCTGTAGATCCATCATCTCAAACAACCATCTCATCTTCATATATCGCTAGTTTTTCTAATGTCTTTCTGGAATATCCTATCCTATGTGCACTGCTGCCTGCTTCCACCATAGTGCTATCCTCAATCCCAAGGATATTCAATTGCTCCCCGCTCTCACCATTTTGTGGAGAAGATAAATCACGAAATGTATTTGAATAAGTCAGTAGTCAGAAACTTAATATATAATGGTCATAATGAATTCAACTCGATCTTAAGATTTTGTAGGAGAGGTAAGTCGCGAAATGTATTTAAGTTATCAAAAATTTATTATACAGTGATCATAGTAAATTTAACTCGATCTTAAGATATTATGGAGAAAGTAAGTCACAAGGTGTATCTCAGTAAGTCGGGGATCAAAAACTTACTAATTGGTGATCACAAGATATTCAACTCCAAACAGTATTACTGCCTTACCAGCAGGAATTGAACGCATACCTTGGAGCTACTAACGTTGCTAAAACTTATCTCATTTCTACCTTAGTATCACTAAAATATGTCTGGGAACATACTTCAGGGCTATCCTGATTCAAGTCTTGGGTGGCAAAGTTGAGAAAAATTGAGGTAATTTAACCCATCTAGCTAGAGAGATTTGGTCATAAGATGTGTGAGAATAAGTAAGCAACCAAGTTAACCAAATTCAACAAGTTTTAGAATGTATGTAAGAAAAGATTAGAGATTTAATTTTTCCAAGTTACATGTATTTAATTGGTAAATGATTAAGAGGTTTATTTGAAAATCTATTGATAAATGCTTGGTACATAAAGTGGAGAATAGTTGATTAACATATTTTTTTATTGTTTTTTTTTTTGGGAGAAAACAAAAAGAGAAAAAAAAAAATTGTTTCTTGTTAGTTGAAAAGCATTCATAATGTGATAATGATATAAGAAAGGCACGCTTGTGGGATGAGATGGCGGGTCCTTGGCAGTTGGCTCCTTGCCTCCTTGGGAAGAGTAGAATGTTACGATTTCTTTTTGCATTTTCATTTTGTTAATTTGATAAAAGAATAGCAATTATTAATGTAATGCAGTTAAATTAAAAATTTAAATTAAAAGTACACTTATTATTGTAATTATTCATCGATTCAAGTACAAATAAGATTCATTATATGAACATTTATTTGTAAGTCGTCTTCCCCGTTTGATAATATTATCATTATATTTCTTAATCAAGATAAATCGTTATTGTTATTATCGTCGCTATATTGTTCAAAAATAGAAAAAAAAAAAAACTTATTTTATTGTGCAAGGGCTAAGAAAAATGATTGGATTGAGGTATTGCATGTAACAACTTACAATTGTGCAACAACACGAGTAAACTAAGTATGGTATAGTATATGTAATCTAACTAGTAACTACCAAGTGGCTTGTGGTTCACTGGTATCCGGTTGCTCTCCTATGTGAGAGGTTTAGGGTTCGAGTAAAAAATGTAACTAGTAAGTGGACTGCATGCTAATACAATTGTAAGGTCGGGTGATAGAGTTAGAAGTAGGGATGTCAATGGGCGGGCGGGGAGTATACCCTGTTCCCGCCCCAAAACCCCACCTTAGCTCGAACCATCGCCGTTGGGGACGAAGAATCTCCATCTTCGGTCAAACTTTAATTAAATTAGTTTTTTTTTTAAATAATAATAATAGTCAAACTAGTATATAATTCACAATATTTATGTTAAAAAAATTAAATATTAAATTTTTAATCTTAGAATAGTTAAGGGCTCGTTTACTAATTGAAAATTTTCTCTAGTTTTCTATAAAAAAAAAAAAAAAAAAGTGAAGAATTGGAGAATAGAAAACAGAAAACATGTTTACTAGCACAAACTTTCATTTTGATGTTTTCAGTTTTCTAGAAAACTGAAGAACTTTTAAAAGATATTTTCTAAATGAGAAACAGAATCATTTATCAACTATTTGGCTATATATCACTATAACCACATTCTTACCATTATCTACTTACATATTTATTCATTACTATGATTACATTCATTATCATATTCTTTTCCTTATTACAGTGTTCCTCACTTCCTCTAAATCCTTCATCCATATTGGTATTAATAATTCCTTTTTAGGGGGGGGGGGGGGGGGAAGGGGGAGAGGGGGCCTTGGCCCCTGTAGTAATAATGTCCCTCCGCCCTTGGTGAGAATATACTAAGAATATTCCTTTTAATGTGACATTTGGTGTGAAGTGGGTTGGAAATGCTCTAGTACACAGTAAGTCACTAGAATTCTTGGTTAGAAAGCTCTAGCAAGGTGGGGTAATACTAAGAGAGTTTCTATCCAAAAGTTCCCCTTCTAAGGAGCAACTTAGCATTTATAGCATCGGATCCGGGAACACAACTGAATTTTCCTTTGATGATGGGTATGCGGCGCTTACCTACAAGTAAATTAAGTTAGTCGCTCCACGTGTTTGCACTGAGGTGACTCAGACGAATTGGATATGTTGGTTGAAGGGACGCTTCACGTATTGTTACGTTGTCCATTCACCTAGGTAGGGTCAACTTCCTTGCCTGACAATAACTTGGAAAATGCACAATCAAGGTCAGAAATGATCTTAAACTATTGTATATTGATCTCTATCAAATATTTTTTCATTGATATGTCTTACATAAGATCATCAATATTATTTTTAGCAAGAAGTGTCAAATAGCTCCATCTATCACTCACAAATGCTCAATTAGCCCCTTTATTTTAAAATATGATCTAATTGACCACATTTACTTCTAAGGGGGTGTTTGGTTCATAGAAAAGAACTTCCAAGGAAAATAATTTCTTAGA